CAAAAAGCGTACGTTAGTTGTCAGTTATAAAATAAATCCAATTTATTTGCGAATATTTGTTTATTCTATTTATTGAAAGACAACTACGCGAAAAAGCTTGTGTTAATTATATTGATAACAGAACCTGGCAGCTCGCACGTTGTCTAAATTCTCAAGTAACAAAATCCACAAAAGAATACATTGCTTGTTTTACCATCAATACGCCATGTATAAATTTTAACTAGACACAAAAATAGAGCTTTCGCACGAGCGTTTGTTTGGTTTTTCAACACCATTTATAATTTTCTTTTAATAAAATCACGATTTGTCAAATGCTTAAATTTATTTATCTAATAATAATGCATCACACAACCCTGATATCTAATAAAAAGTCTGAGGAAGGCCAATAAATAGCAGCACACAACCCCGTGCCTTCCTCAGGAGTGAATGTAACTACAACAACAACCCAAAAAGGTTGGTTACTGTCTATACTTGCAATAAAATAATAATGAATTGTTTGAACTTAAACAATATTTATGATCATTCATTTGAAATATTGCTTGTTTTTTAAATTTTATTTTAATTTGCGTTGTTTCTCTAATCGTTCTCGAATCGAATTATAATGTAGTTCTCTAAAAGCATAAACTCGGACTTAACTCGGGCTTAATCCGGATCAACTGCAGTTAATTTCCGAATTGATGCGGATCAACGCTGCAGTCTGTTTATGCTTAAAGTTCGTCACCGACTCGAGAACGATTAGAGAATTACCCTAGTTATCTAATGTATAAATCCAAATTTCTCAAACGTTAGAGGATTGGGGTGTTCACAGTTCGTTCCAAATAGTGTCTCAAAATGTAGACGTCTACATTATAAGACGTTTTCTAACCGTAAAATCTGTGGCGTTGTTGTTTCCCATACAAAATTGGAAAACGACGCCGTCTACATTTTGTCACACTCAAAGGTATGTTTTTTACGCGTCTACATTTTGCAACCTCGCAGCAGGGTTGCACTATGGCAATACTAATCGCATTTTTTTTATTTATTGGGCACGTTTTCTATATTTGCATTTAATTTGAGCGCAATTTCTGATGAAAAGAAATAAATCAAGGAAAAGAAATAAAAAATATTAGGAATTGGTAATTAAGTTAAATAATTACAATTTTTCAGAAACAAAATCGAAAGGCGACATATAAAAAAGCACGCAAAGAAGAAATGTCTGGCAACACCAGCAAAGTTTTGAGACGATTTTGCGACGACTGCTAGAAAGGGGTGCTCACAGTTTGATGCTAAAGATGTCTCAAAATGTAGACGTCTACATTTTCAGACACAATTTGGAACGAACTGTGAACACCCCAACTGTGTTTGTTGGGGCTGAGCTGTCAAACAAAATAAAATATCTACGAAATATCTATCTCCAGTTATGTTTTCGTATTCTCCAGCAAAAAATATCCAATAACTTGCCAGTAACCAAATTTCGAAGAGTAAGCCAATATTTACTCCCAATAAGAGAAATGTGCAAGAAAGTACGAAAATGCAAAACCAGCAAGAAGTTGCAAGTTTTATGAACAGCTGATTAATTTGTTATTTTCCGACGCAATTTTCTAAAAAAAATTGTATTTCCCATCTTATTATATATTTAAATAGGTTTATTTTGTCAATTGCAACTCTAATAGCAGTTCAAACATTTGTATGTGAATTGCATTAAGCATCATGTCATCTGCTGTTTTTTTTACTGGCAAGTAGTTGCTAGTAAAAATTTATCCAGTAAAACTTGCAAGTTCAGCTGTCATTTTTGCTCTCTCAATTCTCTTTTGCTAGTTTCTTGCAAGTTTTTGCGCACGCAAACGGCATCCAGTAAAAACCAGTAAAATTAGTACTGCATTTTACTAGATAGTGCGTACGCGAACAGGGCTTCTGTAAAAGGTGTTCAGCCCCTTTTCTTCGGCAACATAGAAAGGAGAATTCTACTTAGTGAGGGTTATAATCCCTAAGTGTGGCCTATTAATTTGCACCAAAAATATATAACATTAAAATGAATAGAAAGGGCGAACCACGCCCATTTTCTAGTTTTGTTTTAGCTCACAAATGCCGCGGTACTGCACTTGTACCCAACTACTGTGCCGAAGCTATTGAAATTACTTATAATTTAGAGACTTTTCACAATTACTTGCTTTACCACATCTGACTGGACTGTGTTACATTTGAGCCGGTAAAAGAGCAATTAAAAGAACGCGGACCATTCGTTCCAGGCGTCCACGGCCACATAGATACAGAATATACGCTGGCAGAAACAAAGACCGATACCAAAAATATGTATACCTGTTTGGCCACACGCATGGGTACATCCATACATATGCGTGCACGTTATTTATATGCATGCATACAACCCATTTAAATATCAAAAGGGGATTCCAAGCTCTTAATTCTTCTGCATTTATTTATCGGGACATCATTCAATATCAATGCAAATGGGCGTAGTAAGTTCGGCCGATAAAAATCTTTTTTTTTTTTGTGTAATTGATCATCCCGATTTTCAGCCACACTTAACCTACATATGTACATAGATTTCGCCAGTGATAAAGCGATATGCAAGTAGATTAAAAATTGTGTTTCCACTATGTCTTAATTTTAATCAATATTTGGACTTTGGAATAATATCCATCCAAATTACGTAAAATACTAATGATGAAAAAATGGGTAAAATTTTCTGTATACGCTTTTCAGCAGAGAAATTTTTTTCCAAAATGGCGACGACGGCCACCCAGAGGCGAAACGTTGATAAATTTTGCTATTATCTTCAAGTAAAATATAAAAAAAGTGCATAATTAACACTCACCGTTCTTGGAAATACACAAATATATATTATTTTAAGCAAAATAGTGTAAAAATACGAATTATTTTAAATCAAATACACGCACTAAACCACTCAAAGACTGCACTCGTCGACAAAGCTGCCAGATTTGAGATGACGCGGCTTGATGCTGCCAGATTTGAAATGACGCAGCCTGATGATGCCATATTTAAAAATATTTTGGATAGGTGCCATCTTTCATTCTTTTAATAAGTGATGCCAATATTTTTTGAAGTCAAAAGTAAACGCCATGAATCAAAAATACATCACGCAAGACCGCGACGTTGTATTTGTAATTGGTTGAGAAATAACCCAGCGTATATAATACATTAGTTAACAGATAGGGTTCTTACTGGGAAGTTTGCGAAAGCGCGTTCGTCAGCTGAGCGTTTGTTTATATCACAAGCACCACTATTTGACACATTTATTAAATAAAGAAAAGCTAAAGTTAATTCAACATGACCACACATTTTAAAGCATTTAAATGTATAATTTTACCTAAATTGTGCCTTTAATGCAGCGTTTTTGCTGCATTTAAAATGCAACATTTAGCACTTTCGAACATGTGTTTTCAAAGATCGTTCATGCTATCACATTTACCAAATGTACATTTACGCGTGCTCGAAATCGTATGCTTTTGACAAACAGCCGTGTTCTATCGCTTATTCAGATCCGTACCTAATGTAATATAATGTAATGTAAAATAATAATTGAAATCTCGTCCGGCGGTCACTGAAACGCAGCTAGCTCTGTATACGCGGAAAATCAATATAGCCACTTTTTCTCATTAATACCTTGGTTATAATGCACGGGGCGAATCGTAACAAATCGCGTCAAATTGGTAAGGATCTATTGATTTTAGATGGTTCCGTTTTAAATTGCGGTCAAATACATTATAGTCGTTTGAATTCATTGCGTAAGGATTAGTTTATGGTTCTTGCCAAGGTTTTTGCCATCTTTTGGGCTATTAGTCAGCTTTCAGACACGTTAAGTCTTGCTTGCTCGTTCCATGGCGAGGGAGGTGAGAAGAGATACCTCCGTACCGTCAATTCGTTTCAATCAGTTTTCTTGTCTCTTTGGGTCTTTTCGTTGCTTCCCATTTATAGAACCAAGAACTTGAATTCAATAATATTTGACGCGTCTGGAAGCAAATAGAAAACACAAAAGCTAATGCGAAAAAGTTTTATCCACAACTTGACGTGTCTGATAGGGGACTTATATATCTATCCAGCCGTCTTCACGTGCTGGAAAATCTCGCTAGCGTGACGACGCATGCGAGAAACCTCACGTGTAGACCGTAAAACGTACGAAGCATGCTTTTTCTCGCTTGCTTTCGACTCTCATTTCTGTTGTTTGACAGCTATGTTGTCATTTCGCAGAATTCTTCAGAGTAGTTTATTTTGGGGGCAAATACAAATTTAGATTCACCCAAAACCGTATTTTGCGTCTTTTTCGCTCTTTATGCAGATTTTCTAATTTCCTCAAACTTTTAAGACCCTGCAAGGCTTGAACCTTCTTGTTTGGCGACATTTTACATATGAAAAAGTATGCTGTCAAATGCGCAGTCAACAAAACTCTATCTCGCTTGCGAGAGAAAAAGCAGAACGCAAGCGAGCCCTTAGGGCCGGTTACTCAATGTCTGATTAACACTAATCTGCGTTTACACATCATTATCGACGTCTTCGACTGCATGCATATAACAGGGAGTCGGTTACGTCGACAACGATGTTTAACCGCAGATTAGTGTTAACCAGACATTGAGTAACCGGCCCTTAATGTTTTCTTCTACATACGTATGTATATCAGTGTAAATCTAAGTCATGACGTGGTTAAGTGCACTTAATATTGTAAGAAACTACTCTTAGGGCCGGTTTCTCCATCTGTGGTTAACACTAACTCCCCGGTTAAACATTGTTATCGACGTTCTAACTCCATGCATATAACAGGGAGTCGATAAGGTCGGTAACGATGTTTAACGGGGGATTAGTGTTAACCGGAGATAGAGAAACCGGCCCTTACTCAGTTCGGAAATTCCGTGTGCTTCAGGCAACCAAGTCCCTGGTTGCTTCAACGGTTGCCTCGTGTGTAGTTAGCACTATAACCAGTGTATCCACGTTCTTTGGAAAAAATAGTGCATTTTCGTACAACCCCGATACTTAGCTTCGACAACCCTTTTCATATGTCAATCAGTAATTTAGCAATTGTTTTTCTTTTTTTTTTCTAATTACATACCCTCTAAATTGCTATAAATACATTTGTTTATCGACTTGGAATCGCAGTATACTGTGCTTGGTATGGTTATTTTACAGATAAACAATGCGTAAATATCACCAGCTCTTATTGGTCGTAATTTCTTGTATAAGCATAATTGTCTTGCTTACATACAAAAACGAAAACACACGTTTGAAAGATGTCCTGAATGCCGTGAACTTCTTTAGTCGGAAAGATGCGGCAGAGTTACGATTAATAAGTAATTTCACCTGGACGGATGATGGCATAATTGATTTTAATCGCCCGATTCCGGTCTGGCAGCTAATTGGGGACTCCTTTCACGCCTATGCTTCATTCTGGCATCGCAACGAACTTGTCTCTTCAGGTGGCGAAGTTTTATCACTGGTAACTGCATCGGTTGGCGCTGTAGTAAATTTTCGATGTAGCGCACATTATGGAGGACACTTTTCGCAAGGCAAGTTTCGTTTTCAGCACTTGGGTCAAGAAAAAGATAATGGCGATGTTGTATTCAAAACTTATATATTTTACTGTCGCCTCAAAAATGATATAGGGGCACCCAAAACCATTGTTTATGCAGACCAAAATGATAAGATCAATGCGAATCATATGCTTCGTTTACGTCCTATTAAAAATGGTCAAGTAGGCAACGTGCCGCAAACACAACTAGCGATTTGTCTGGATTTAGTAACGTTTAATATAAGCAGTAACTTCGGGAAAAATGATGCGCATTTGTTGGAATTTTTTCTACACCACTACGTCCTAGGCATCAATCAGTTTATCGTTTACAATGGCGATGACTT